TGTTTAGTGTTCCTCAGTCTTAAAAAGTTTAAGAAACACTGGTGTTGAGGGTGCTCAGCCCCTTGCAGGAGACATACTGCACCACTCAGAAGCAGTTACCAAATCAAGAGTCTAATTTTTCCATCTATATAAATCCAGCTTTTTTTCTTTCATGGCAGCCAAAGGGCAGTTCAGCAATGTGCTGGCAACCCTGCCTTTTCATGGAGTGTAAAGTTCCTGTTTGGCCCAACAGCCAAAGGCAGAGAAATTAAATCTAGTGCTACTGCAGACTAGGGATATGAAAGTTTAACCATGTAAACGGTTAAGTGATAAATCTGCGAATATCACTTAACGTTCATGTTACGTGCAGGCTCCCACTATGTGTGGGGAGCCAGCTCCCCATACCCACTGGCGGTGGGAACCCACCTGTCGCTCCCCATGTAACTGCTGAATTTTTCAGTGGTTACACAATTAGCTACACACAATTTAACATCCCTACTGCAGACAATCATAGACATGCCTTCAGGAGTGTTCCCTGAAAGCAGGGTGTTTGTGTAGCCACTCAGGAGAGAGTCATATACTGCCCAGCTGACTAGCAGAGCATCCACAGCTAAGTTATTGTTTCTTCTGGTGGTGCACATTCACATGCCTTGGTGCACATTTATTCTGCACATGGATGGAAGAAATCTGCACATGGATGGAAAAGATTAGAGGGAACGCAGTCTCTTGTGTGGCTAGGTGTCTGGTTTTCAGTTGAACATACGGTGAAAATGAACGAGTGACTAGGATGTGGGTGAACAAATGTTTGAAGAGAGGGGAGGGGAGATGGCATGAGCAGGATGGGGCCTCGGAGAAGAACTGGGGCAAGAGTGTTTGGCTTTGTTCTGTCAGAAAGTTGGCAACCCTAGAGAGAACTATCAACATGTCACAGTGTTAAACAACTCTCACAGTTTATTTTGCACAACTTGCAGCATTATCTTAAGGCCAATGTGGTCTATATGTCTGTGGAGGAAGAAATAAAAACCCCACCCCACATATTTATGTAAGGTTACATATGTGCTCATTTCCTCTTCTGAGTATGTAAGCTGGGGATTGGACAGAGCTTTGGTTGCTCCTACTTGCTGGCCAGAGTAGTTGAATCAAGAGGATAATGGAGTAGGAGGACACCCACAAAATAGTTTAGACTCTCTATTTGGCTGCCATCTAACCCTGCAGGCACTTGAACTCACTAAGCACCTCCATTTCTGCTGAAAAATATCCCTAGGCCCTTACATTTCTGCCACTTGTTATATATACTGATGCTGTGCAAACATAACCTCAGGCATTTGGGAGCCTGCAGGAACAAGCTTCCCAGCCCTCATGGACTGACATGCTCTAAAGACAGCTATGTATACAGTACAGGCAGTCCCCGGGTTACGTGGATCCGACTTATGTCGGATCCCTACTTAAGAACAGGGTGAGGGAACCCCGAACTAGCTGCGCCCCTCCCCCAGCAGACCGCTGAGACGCGCCGTGGTGGTCCCGCTGTCCGCGTCCTCCGCGGCGAGAAAAGCCACTCCGCGTCTCCCTGGTCTGCTGGGGGGGGGGCGCTCCCCCCCCAGCAGACCAGGTTTTTCTCACCACGGAGGATGCTACTGGACCAACCCAGCAGCGCTACTGGACCAACCCAACAACACCCCAGTTGCTCTGCCCCAGGCGTCCCTAAGAGCAGCTGGGGGGCTGCCGGGTTGGTCCCTCCGCGCCAAGGGTCGGCGCTACAAGACCAACCCAGCAGCACTCCAGCTGCTCTGCCCCAGGTTCCCCCAAGTCAGCCGCTGCTGAAACTGACCAGCGGCTGACTACACGAAGCCCGAGGCAGAGCTACTTCGGAATCTTCCTGGAATCAGCCGCTGATCAGTTTCAGCAGCAGCTGACTTGGGGACACCTGGGGCAGAGCAGCTGGGGTGCTGCCAGGTTGGTCCAGTAGCGCTGCTGGGTTGGTCCAGTAGCATCCTCCGTGGTGAGAAAAACCTGGTCTGCTGGGGGGGGGGCGCTCCCCCCCCAGCAGACCAGGTTTTTCTCACCACGGAGGATGCTACTGGACCAACCCAGCAGCGCTACTGGACCAACCCAACAACACCCCAGTTGCTCTGCCCCAGGCGTCCCTAAGAGCAGCTGGGGGGCTGCCGGGTTGGTCCCTCCGCGCCAAGGGTCGGCGCTACAAGACCAACCCAGCAGCACTCCAGCTGCTCTGCCCCAGGTGTCCCCAAGTCAGCTGCTGCTGAAACTGATCAGCGGCTGATTCCAGGAAGATTCCGAAGTAGCTCTGCCTCGGGCTTCGTGTAGTCAGCCGCTGGTCAGTTTCAGCAACGGCTGAATCTGGGACACCTGGGGTACAATATGTACAAGTTCCGACTTACATACAAATTCAACTTAAGAACAAACCTACAGTCCCTGTCTTGTACGTAACCCGGGGACTGCCTGTACTTTGAAGTTGTGGTGTGGGCTGGAGCTCAGGTTCTGAAGCCTTCAGGAGGGGCCTTCAGAGCCTGAGCTGCAACTTCAGAGCACTGTCTACACAGCTATTTTTACAGCCTGAGCATAGTCGATCTGTGCTCACTCCCATGGGCTCCCAAATAATGTCATCTGCCTGTCTCATGCCTAAGCCTCCGTGTAATGCTACCTCCAAGACAGAGGAAAAACCAGCACTGGCCACCTCCCCCCAATCAGGAAAAGGAATCCTAGTAATGACGATTGCTTATTATTACTAAAATTAATGAGAGAACCATTGCTCCCTCCTCCCCTACCCACATCCCACCACAGTGTTTTAATGTTTATAGCTGCAGCTCTGCCACTATAATGCTTCAGAATAGACATTCAGGAAGGGTTTTCCCATCACTGTAGTGATTCCACCTCCCCAAGAAGCAGTAGCATAAGGTGACCATATTTCCCTAGTTTAGACTCCAAGGCGGAGGGGCAGGAGATGTCGGTGCTCAGGGCTTCAGCCCTAAGGGTGGGCTGCCAGTGCTCAGGGCTTCAACTCCATAATAGGGGGAGTGTGAAAGGAGCCGCTAGCGCTCAGGGCTCCAGCCCCAGAGTGGGGTCGGGGGAGGCTCTAGTGACTGAAGCTCCAAGTGCAGGCAGCTCCCTGTCCTCCCTGCCCCACTGCAGAGATGAAGTTCTGCCCCATACCTGGAGCACGGAGCGCTAGTGGCTCTTCTCACCTCCTACCACTCTGGGGCTGGAGCCCTGAGCACCAGCAGCTCCCTTTACCTCCCATTGTTTTTAAAAGTCGGGACACCGGGAAAAGAGATTAAAGAGGGACCGTCCTGTTAAAGATAGGATGGATGGTCACCCTATGGAACAACGCTGACAGAATTCTGGGGTGAGACTGGATTAACTGCATTGCACAGCGGTGTGGATTTTTCACACCCCTGAGTACATAGCTGGCTTGACCTAACTTTTCAGTTTAAACCAGCCCCTAGCAGGGTCCCCTACAAGCTGTGTGGCCACACAGCTATCCAAAAAACCCGGCTTCAGGGCTCAGGACTGCCACGCACAGAGCTACCACAGGAGGAGAAATGTAAAGAGTTAAATGGTTACCCAGTTACCCAGTAAGCATTCTCCCTTACCGGCATACTTACCAGGTATCCCAGACCGGCCAGAGAAGCCCCCACCTACCGAGCAGTGAAGCAGGCTCGGCCAGGCTGAAGCAGCCCACGACATGCCACCCCCTGCCATAGCATCCTGGTTAACCAGTTAAACATACCATTTAACTGGATAATTTTTTAACAGAATTTTATATTCCCAGCCTCTGTGCAACTCATGCCACCCTCTTTGCATCGAAGAGAAAGTCACAATCTTTGTTCAAAATAGGGATGTTAAATATTGGTTAACTGAACAGTCGATTAACCTCATGAATTCTTATTGGTTACTCGACTATTATATAGTTCCCGGGGGTGGGGCTGGCATACAGTGCACTCCAGCCCCACTCCCAAGGAGCCCCCTGCCACTCCGCATTGCTGCCTCTGTGTCAGATGCAGCAGCATGGGGTGCCAGGCAGGAGCTGATCTGGAAGGGGAGCCAGTTTAAAAACCAGCTCCCCTCAGAGACTGGCTGTCCATTGCCCTGCACCGCTGCGTCTGATACAAATGCAACAGAGAATGGTGGCAGCAGCCCCTGTCCAGGGAGGGAGGGAAGGGTCTGAGCTCCTGGACCTGGCATAAGCTGGAACTGAGCAGGGCTGCCCGCCCTCCTGGCTCCTGATACACTTTAAATACAGAGCCACAGCGGGGGTAAGTTCCAGACCCAGAGGAAGCCAGGACTGAGCTGGGCTGCTGGCCAGCCTGCTAAAAATGTACTGACAAAGGGTGGGGGGGAAATCATAGAATACTAGGACTGGAAGGGACCTCGAGAGGTCATCAAGTCCAGTCCCCTGCCCTCATGGCAGGACCAAATACTGTCTAGACCATCCCTGATAGACATTTATCTAACCTTCTCTTAAATATCTCCAGAGATGGGGATTCCACAACCTCCCTGGGCAATTTATTCCAGTGTTTGACTACCCTGACAGGAACTTTTTCCTAATGTTCAACCTAAACCTCCCTTGCTGCAGTTTAAGCCCATTGCTTAACCGATATATAGCATTAACCGATAAGTTTTTGCCTAATGGTTAATTGACTACACTATTACATCCCTAGTTCAAAACTCTTAAAATTATTTATTTAATGCCTAACTAGCTAACGTTTGAGGATCTGGGGCCAAGTTTTTAGTGTTAAATACATATACACACTCTCCAATAAGATTTAAAATATACACAATGGGCATTTATGGCTTGTCTGGCTTCAGTGAGTGTTGTGAGTGCTCAGCATCTCTGAGACTCAAACTTTTATTTGGATGTCAAAGTGTTAAAAGTAAAGTATGCATAGAAAGAAAAATAAATCTCTTCTGGTGCATACAAACAAAAGTACAGTTGGACAATAAAATTAGAAGTCTGGACTAATTCAAAGAAAAAAGTTACATAATGGAACTACAGCTATTACCTTACTAAATTGCAGCTATACCTAGAAGAGGGTTATGAAATTACTGTGTGCTTTAAATGTTGTGGAGTCTGACAGCTCTTCAGCTACCAGCCAGAGGTCTGAAGATGCAGAAACAAACTTTTTGGAACAAAGACTCGGTTTCAATGACTTTCCTGTTTTGGAAAAAGTTTCAAAATGATCAGCATCCTGTTTTGACATTTTTCAAGACTCAAATGTACATTTTTAAAGTTTGAAATAATTTGTTTAGAAATTTAAGTTAACCATAAAAGACAAACCAAAATGTTTCATTTGCAATGACCTGATTTCCCTTCCTGACTCCACCTTTTTCAGATTTATGGTTCATGAAAAATTGAGATATTTACTTTGTCCCAATCTGGGACTAGAAAAGTTTTTGAAACCCCAGGAATTCATTTTGGTTGGAGACATTCCTGGATGTTTCATCACATCACGTAATCTCTAACTAAAAATTAATCTTGAATTCCTGCAGACTCCAGAAGAATCCTGGGGGGGAGTCAACCCTGTTTAATAGAAAAAGCATTCCTTGCCCAAAGCTAGTGGGATCCCAGCCCACCCCACCCCACCCCACCCCACGCTGACATTGCTGAAGGGGAGGGGAGCAGGGAATCGCTCTCTCCTCTGCTGGAGGCATCTCTGCACCAAACGCTCCCGGGCTTTAATCCACAGCCGCCCGGGCTCCGAGCTCAGCCCGCCCGCACACAAACGCGTTGTTAAAAGCATTCCTTGCCCAAAGCTAGTGGGATCCCAGCCCACCCCACCCCACCCCACCCCACGCTGACATTGCTGAAGGGGAGGGGAGCAGGGAATCGCTCTCTCCTCTGCTGGAGGCATCTCTGCACCAAACGCTCCCGGGCTTTAATCCACAGCCGCCCGGGCTCCGAGCTCAGCCCGCCCGCACACAAACGCGTTGTTACAGAAAGGTGCGCGCTGGCCTGTCTGCGCCGTCTGACCTGCGTACACAGGGCCA